AAAAAAAAAAAAAAGAAATTCTGACATCAATTTCTAAAACATTCCTAAGGGAAGAAAAGTTCCATCTGTGTTCCTGGTACTGAGCTGTTTCATCTCCTATAATCCTCACAGGAACCTTGGGGAGAAGGTATTATTACTTCCATTGAACAGCCAAGGTATATAACTTATAAGTGGTAACTAACATTTGATGAGTATCTGCCCGAGCTATCTCAATTATTATTACTGGTAATAGTAGCAGCATGGCAGTGATTATCATTTTTGAACACTGTGCATATATTAACTATATATATACATTAGCTATTATATAGATGATATATAATTCTGTAATTCTGTCTGGTTGGAAAGAGTAAATAAGAATACACACACGTATACACACACACACATACTCATTTATCTTTTTCAACTAGACACTCAAAGAAATTATTTAACATGTCCAGAGTCGGACAGCTACTAACTGGTAGAACCAGGGTTTAAAACCACATCCAACCTTACACATTCCACCCTTAACTGCAATGCAACCCGGCCACATCCCTGCTGTATTAGTCTACTTGAACTGCCATAACAAAATACCACAGACTGTGTGGCTTAAAAAATAGAAATTTCTTCTCTCACCATTCTACAGACTGAAAAGTCTGAGATCGAGATGCCAGAAGAGTAGGTTTCTGGTGAGAACTCTATCCTTGGCTTATAGGTGGCTGCCTTCTTACTGTGTCTTCATAAGGCCTTTCTTCTGTGCATGTGTAAGGGAGGAGAAGGAGAGATATCTCTGGTGTCTCTTCCTCTTCTTATAAGGACACCAGTCCTGTGAAAGTAGGGCCCCATTCTTATGACCTCATTTAACCTTAATTACCTCCTTAAAGGCCCCATCTCCAAGTACAATTACTTTGAGGGTTAGGCTTCAACATATGAATGGGTGGCGGGGGGGAGGAGGGAACACAATTCAGTCCATAAACTCACCATCCTCAGAGTTAGTAGGCAAGGTTAAGGTGAAGAGAGATTAAGTTACTCTTCCAGATCCAAACAACAGGGAAATAAGTGTTTGAACTGTGTAAAAATCCAGCCCGTATTCTGTGAATTTCTTCAGAGCAAGGACATGTACTTCTCTTGTATTTTACACAGAGTTAGGGTACAATTTTAGGCTGATTAATTTTTCCAGTACTAACCTTGCCTTACCAAACCTGTCGAATTCAATGTCCAGTACTGATGAGGGTACAAGGACATAGAGTTCTCATGCATTGTGACATGGTAGGGTACCCTCTCTCTGGGAGTTATTTGGTAATGTGTGCTGAATCCTGTAATATGAGTGTACCTTTTAACTCAACAATTCCACTTCTTTGCTATTTATTAGAAGATGATCATGGATATGTGCAAAAATTTAGGTTCAGGAATCTTCACTGCAGTATTACCTGAAAAACATAAGTTAAGAAATAAGCTCTGTGCTCAACAATAAATAACTAACATAAATTGTAGTATATCCATAAAATGGAATAAAATTCACCTAATATTGATGTTTTGGAAGAATATGCAAAGCCATGGAACAATGCCAATGACATATTAACTAAAAAAAGACTGGTTAAAATATGACTCTTTTCCATTATAAATGTAAACACATGCTTATGTTTGCACATAACAAAGCCAGTGTTTATAAATGTAATAGGATTATTGGTAACTTATGTTCTTCTTTTCTTTTCATCATACAATGCGCAGACCCTGCTTTTCTAACCATAAGCCAGTATTTATTTTGGAAAAAAAAAAAACCACTTTTTAAAATTAGGAGTTTCTTGAATAGTTGACTCAAACTTTCTACTGAATTTGCCCTTGATATTTGGCAAATTCTTTATATAAAACAAAGCAAGGGAAGTATGTTGGTCTAGAAGCTCAAGAAGTTCAAAGTTAGCAGAGAGCCCTCACATAGACCCCCCACCCTTTTATTTAAATAGACTGTTTTTTAGAGCAGTTTTAGGTTCACAGCAAATTTGAGTACAAAATACAGAGTTCCCATATAATTCTAACCCTACACACGCACCGGCTCCCCCACTATCAGCATCGTGTGGCAGAGTGGTACATTGTTCCCATCAGTGAACCTACACTGATACATCATTATCAACCAAAGTCCGTAGTTTATATTGGGGCTTACTCTTGGTGTTATACATTCTATGGGTTTTGTCAGACACAATTGATTTTCCTTAAAGAATTAATTTTATTAAAATCAGTTTCATAATTACATCTAGTGCTTACTGGGAAGGGTGAAACAGTGTTGAAAGAGCCAACTGGGATTGAAGGAAGACGGCATCGTTGTCACTGTTCCTTCTTACCTAAGGAAGGTGGTCCTAACACAGCAGGGGTCTCCCAGAGGGTGGTCCAGCTCTACTCCCTCCGCACCAGTCTGCAAAAGATACTTACATGAGATTTCTGGACTCCTCTTGCGTCACCCACCAACACAGGAGGCCCAGCCTGGCATCCTTTGTGGCATAGTAGCCTCTCAGTCCTCTGAGGTCCCTACCGTGCATCTAAACTCTATGTTCAGTTAAGAATTACCTGAGGATGGGGCCTGTCCTTCCCCTTCCCTTACAGAATACAGGGAATAATCCTGGATGGCCTTCGTTATGTCCCAAACCTCCTTTCCTTGCCAAAGTAGACATAACTCAAATTTTCTGAAAATTATGGAAATGTTTGTCTCTGGTTACTGTTTGCTCCCTACCTGGTTAACTGTATAGACGTTGTCCTATATATCTCCCTTCAAGCCTCTAGTCTCCAAAGATGCAACCCCCTCCTGCAACCCGCTTCTGCTCTGTCCTGCCTCATACCACCATGCTGGAGGCTTTTTACTCCTTTCTAAAGTGAATTCTTGTTCTGATCCATTTTGAAGAATGTGGATTGGGAGGAAGTCCTTCAGCCACACCCTAGACCTCATGATGGTAGACTCAGACCTTTTCAAATAATTCAATTCACTATTTTAATCTATTTATTCATATCTAATCTGGTTCTTGAAAGCATTTAGAGAAGTTTGAAAACATTCCTTATAAAGGTAACAAGCGGATGTGAATATTTGAGATACAACTGAGGTTTCCCACTCTGGGGCTTTCTGGTACCCTTTACTCATGGCACGCTGCCCCCATTTCAGCTGGGAGCTCCTTAATGTATGAGATAGTGTTTTCCTAGGGCCCAGCAGGGAACCTGGTATGGGTGGGGTATGTGCCCTGTTGATGTTTGTTTGCCATGCTTGAGTAGAATCATTCAAAGCAGTTAAGTGAGCAAAATCACTTCCCTTAGACTGCCTTTCACTAAGGAGGGGATTGCAATTAACAAGTCCATCTGCAGGAGCTCTGGGATCTGGTGAAGAAGAGCAGATACCTCTGCACCCCTTTCAGAAATAAGGAAACCAAGGCTTTGTGAGCTTGGGCCGTTTGTCCAATGTACACAGTAGAGCTGAAAATAGACCAGTTTCTTGGCTCCTGGTCCCTGCTCTGGCCTCTAAAGTGTGTTACCCTGCCTCAGAAATGGACGCATCCTTCCCAGGCTCAGCTGGATTGTGAACTGTCAGGGAGCAAGCTTGGAAGTTTGGTGGGACTCTGAGTAAAGGCTTCTTGCCCACAGAGCCCACAGATAGACAAAATTAGGTGTGGTAGGCTGAAAAATGTCCCTAAAACATATCAAGTCCTAATTCCTGGAACCTGTAAATGTTACCATGTATGGACAAAGGGTCTCTACACATATAATTAAGGATCTTGAGATGGGGAGATTGCCCTGAATTATCTGGGTAGGCTCTAAAGGCAGTCACGTTACTTCATAAGAGAAAGGCAATGGGAGCTTTCACTAACAGAGGAAAGGTGATGTGACAGAGGCAGAGACTGGAATGACATGGCCACAAGTCAAGAAAAGCTGGAAGCCACCAGAAGCTGGAAGAGGCAAAGAATGAATTCCCCCCCCCAGAGCTTCTGGAGGAAGTGTGGCCCTGATAATACCTTGATTTTTGTCCCAGTAATACTGATTTTGGACTTCTGTTCTCCATAATTATGAAAGAATAAATTTCTATGATTTCAAGCCACCCAGTTAGTGGTAATTTATTACAACAGTGATTGGAAAATAACACATTAGGATAAGGGGGCCTAACCACCATAAAAGGAATGTTTGCTCCATAGGGCAGAAACTATGAGCTGGTGACCCAGCAGCATTCCCAATTCCCTTTTTATAAGGGAATGTGTGTGTGTGTGTGTGTGTGTTTAGGAATTTTAGGGCTGCACAGGTTCACTGAAGGTAATATAGTCCAGAGGGACATAAAATGACAGAAAACCACGTCACCAGAAAGATACAGTCCTCCTTATTCATGGATTCGTATTTGTGAATCTGCCATTAAAAGATTAAAAATATTTTTAATGGGAATAGGTTTTTCTCCCACCTTCTAAACTGTCATATTTAGGGTTATAGGTAATACTTGCTGAATTATGGAGTACTTCATCTAGGTATAAATTGTATATAACCTTCAGCATTTGAAGTATGGCTTTGTTGCCACTGTTAGGTTTCAGTGTGTATACAGTTTACATCTAATTTGAGTTTGTTTTTCTTGAGTTTTGTTTGGTTTTGGTCACAAATTACTAGATAATAGTAAGCTATTTGCTGGTGTTGTTAAGTAATGCACCATATTTGTTTTCTATTTAACTTTTGACTCCCTTCACCCATTTCTCCCACCCTTCACCCTGTCTGGCAATCACTAATCTGTTCTCTGTATGAGAGTTTTTTCGTTTTATTTTTTTTTATACCACATGTAAGGAAGATCATATGGTATTTGTCTTTCTCTGACTTATTTCACTTAGCATAATGCCCCTGTGGTACATCCTGGTTGTTGCAAATGGCAAGATTTCATTCTTCATGATTGAATTAATGTAACAATTTTAATATCAATAGCGTACAAAACCTTTGCTATGTCTGCTCCTCACTTTGTTGCTTTTGTCATAAATTACATCTTTATATATTGTGTGCCCATAAACACAGATTTACAGTTACTGTTTTAGGCAGCTGTCTTAAATAAGGAAAGAAGTTACAGGCAAAAAAATACATTAATACTGCCTTTTACCCCTATCTATTATAGTTACTTTTACTGGCATTATTTCTTTGTGTGGATTTGCCATACTATCTAGTGTCCTTACATTTTAGTGTTTAGCATTTCTTGTAGGGAAGGTCTACTTGTGACAAACTCAATTTCTGCTCATTGAGAATGTGTTTCGTCTTCATGGGGGGGGCGCTATTTATTTGTAGAAATTTTTAATTCCAGTATAGTTAACATAGTATTGTATTAGTTTCAGGTGTACAATATAGTGATTCAACAATTCCATACACCACCCAGTGCTCATCAGGACAAGTGCACTCCTTAACCCTATCACTTATTTCACCCATCCCCCCACCTACCTCCCCTCTGGTAACCATCAGTTTGTTCTCTATAGTTAAGAGTCTCTTTCTTGGTTTGTCTTTTTTCCCTTCTCCTTTGTATGTTTTGTTTCTTAAATTCCCATTGAGTGAAATCATATGGTATTTGTCTTTCTCAGACTTATTTTGCTTAACATTATACTCTCTAGTTCCATGTTGTTGCAAATGGCAACATTTCACTTTTAATGGCTAAATAATATTCCACTGTATATCTTCATTTTTCAAGTAGTTTTTCCAGACATTGAAGTCATAGTTAACAGGTTTTTTCTTTCACCTCTTTGAATATATCATTCCATTGTCTTCTGGTCCCCATGGTGTCTGAGGAGAAATTAGCTGTTATCCTGAGAATCACTTGCACATGAGTAGTAGCTTTCAAGATTCTCTTTGTCGGGGCGCCTGGGTGGCTCAGTTGGTTA